TAAAATTACATGTACTATAAACTAACATACCAATTGAAACAATCATCACTCAATTTCTACAGATATTTTGTTTACATTAAAAATTACAATGACTCTAACATTAGCATATAGTTAGGAATATAGACAATAGCTAAAGATGCAGTATATACATGTAAGACTCAGATAAAGAGCTGGCCTTTCTTGCAATAATAGTTCAAAATAGATAATGAGAAATGAATATATTGAAAATATCAGTCAAATTACTTTATTCCAAGAGAACTTAGAGTAGTTGAAGTATTCACAATATATTCTTGATTGCCAAGTACCACTGCCTTGATAATTAACAAAGTCTTGATTATCCATTTTTACATTAAATTCTAGAGAGTTGATTATGAGCATGTCGTGTGAATAAATGCCTAATAAATAACTTATATACATGTAGCATTTGAATCCAAAAGAAAGATATGCAATAGGCACGTTTAGTTACACATATTACATATGCATCTTTAAGAAAAATGAATAATAAATTCAAGGTTTTCATGTATGTTGTTCAAACAGAATATATTCAAAAGTTAGGATGCATGTTGTTCAAACAGAATATATTTAATTCAACCTTGTAAAAATTCATTTGGACAAATCAATTCTTTTATCAGTCCATCCAGTTTGTTGAGGTGCCTGGACTGCAGTTACTGAAGCGCATGCCTTAATCCAGTCCTGTTTACGGTACCTCCCTAAAGCCAAAATGCCTTAATCCAACCCTGTGTACGGTACTCTCTAAAGCAAATGCCATAATCTGGCCCTTTGTATGGTACTACCTAAAGCTAGCACTGTGTACGGTACTCCCTAAAGCCAATGCCTTAATCCAGCCCTGTGTGCAGTACTCCATAAAGCCAAAATGCCTTAATAGGGCCCTGTGTGCAGTACTCCATAAAGCCAAAATGCCTTAATACGGCCCTTTGTATGATACTCCCTAATGCCAATGCCTTAATCCGGCCCTGTGTGCAGTATTCCCTAAAGCAAAAATGCCTTAATCTGGCCCTGGGTATGGTACAGGACATGTACATGTACATTAACCTACTGATCTAATTTAAATACGCAGATGTCTGCAGTAGTAGTGCTGAAATACATTAGCTTACTGATCTGATTCTAATAGGACTACAATCTAAATTATTGATCTACGAGAATAGGTAATAAAACAGCATGAGTCAACTATATTCAAATTACGCTTGATACAAACTCATGACATAAATAAAATACAATTATTATCTATATCATATTACAGTAGGATGACTGATCATGTTGGGGAGCCACGGTGGCTCATTGAGTGAGATGTTGGCTTGCTAACCTGGAGGTCCCATGTTCGATTCCTGCAATGGCCGAAAATGTTCATCAGGAATTTTCCGGCTCATTTCCTCCTATTCAGTGGTGCAGGACAGGGGGCCTGGCAAGTGACAATTCTATAGCTGTTTGGATGGGTGGGATGGAAAACCGAGGTGCCCCTGTACACATTGGCATACACGTAAAAGATCCCTTGACAGTTGGAATTCGATATAAGAGTAGGTAGTAATGCTGATGTCAGGGCAAAATTTCCCTCATAGCACACTGTATGGCATATACCTGTCTGCATTAGCCCAAAAGGAGCAGAACAGTAGGATGTTAAACTCCATTTCATTCATTTTGGTTGTATATATCTTCTCTCGAACACAATACTTTTTTGGACTTTCCACGGTTGAGTACAATGCAAGAACGAATTTACCAATGCATTACATGCACAATGATAGCAATATGAGAACTCTTACTATCAGCCATTCTAGAGGGAATGAGCATATCCTGTCTAATGCATGTCATCTGAAACTAATAATAGTCACTGTACACCAATAATACAATTCCCACTTTATAAAATTCTCATAAAACAGTTCAGAATTCTATTTGTGGATATATCATCAATTATCATATTATAAATGGAATGTAAGTAATTGGCCTAATTACATATAAAAATATATTAACCTGCTTCATGACATACACACTAGAGTGTAATTACTCATTACATGTATACCTTATACAGGTCATTTATATTTAACATGATATCACATGGACATGATGTTACATGTACGTTGAAATCAAATGGGGTTTTGATGTTCTACTTTTCTGCATCCACTGAGCTAATGAAGAAGGACTTATGCCATACAGTGTGCTATGAGAGAAATTTTGGACAGACAGCATTGATACAACCTAATCTAATGTTGAATTCGAAATACATTCCGTGTATACATGGAATCTTGGTTTTCCGTCATATCAGAATGACTATAGACACTATCTTTGGCCCCCATCCTGCACCCCTGACAAGTGGAAACTGCCCCGGAAAATCATAAGGAATTTTCTCGTCTGACACGAGGAGCCAACCCAAGACCTCCTGGTTACCGCGCCAGCATCTTATTCACTGAGTCACTGCGCCTCTCTCAGATGCCACATTATACAGCATTACACAACTATCAGTTCATCATTATTTGTTTATAAATAAGTGAAATACATGTAAGAAGATTATGTGCTATTAATTATGAACAAAATGATGAAGGGTAAATTTACTATCAAACATGTATTGCTGTTGAATTGAATTGATTCTTACATGTACATATATCAATATTTTCAGATACATGTAGTCAGCGACAACCCCTCCAACTCCTTTTAGCAAATAATATACATGCACCACCAATAACATATCACATACAAAATGTTTATTTCCACATTAAAAATTCCCACCTTTTCCTAAATTGTTTATTCCCAATTCACATTTTCTGTTATCATGGATTTAAAAATGTTTATTTTCAAATACACAAAATTTCATAAACTCTCATACTGTTTTTACTATAAGACTCTCAATGGGCCCCAATTCACATTTTTTCTTATGGACTCTAAAAATGTTTTATTTTCTAATACAGAAATTGTGACAGACCCATACAGCGAATGATGCTTTTTCTAATTTGTATTCTCTAAGCATTCCCCAAATATGTTTGAAAATTAAATTTTTTCTGTGTTTTAGAGAGAGAAATGGGGTTTAACGTCCACTCGACACAAACTAGGTCATTTCGGGACGAACATATGGTTTAATTTTATTTCAATAATTCGCTTGCGCGTTGGGGTCTTTAGCAGTGGGAGGAAACCGGAGGACCCGGAGAAAACTCACGAGGCTGGACAGACGACCCTACTCCTTGTCACATACAACCGGGGATTCGAAATCACGCCAATTGACTCATTGACAGGCCTTATGATAAAGCGTACGTGCTAACCATTCGGCCATCCAATCCCCACACATTTTAAGGACCACAAAAACAAACCCATTCTATGTTTATTAGCAATTCATATAGTTTATATACCATAATAAATATGTTCAAAAAGCATACCAATAATGCATCAATTAACATAATGTTAAGAACATAATAAGATCCTATTGCATGTCATTGTTTGAACAGAGAAATTATATAGGCCAAGTACAGTAATAAGATATTATTTTCAGTTAATGTTAAGTCCACTAAGTAAACTCTAGTAGGTACTTGATCAACTAATTATCTTATAAATTTCTTAAGCCTATTAATCACTAGTCTCATTGATTAGGTCACATATGAGCTAGACAGCATATTTTAATCATTAGTAAAGTATTTTGGGCTAAAGTATAATCTCTGTCACATCTGTAAACCTGTATTATGAACTAAACTTGTAAGTGCAAGTGGGTGTTTTCTCCACTGTAAATATTACTTGTCTACTGAAATTTAAAAAATTGACGCAAATACTTCATTATTTACATGTAGCTACCGTATTTTTCAGAAAGATATTACTAACAGGGTGTTATGGTATTAAATGTTGAATATCATATACATGTAACGTAAATGTAGAAAAATTTAAGTACAGCCAGGTGTTTTCCCCACAGTAAATATAAATTTATTTAAAAATTTAAAGTATATAAATCAATTAAGAAAAAATTGAAAACCTATAAATTTTTACAAGCTCTCCTTTGATATTCAATTATTCATTACTATTATACTATATCATTTTATGAGCATTGTGTTTATTTTTCATCTTTTAATATTATTTTAAATAATTCTATCATTCAGATATTTTGTTCGAATTTGCTTGCATGTAAAGTGCATCAAAGCACTTTGATGAAGACAGCGATACATGTACGTATATAAATGTTTTGTAATCATAAAAATTATCCATGCCATTATTATTATGTAAAAACAAAATAATGCCAAGGTTTTAATATGAGTTAAATTTTACTAGCTTACACAGACACATAATGCAACTGGGTTATTTTCCCACAGAAAATATGTATGCCGAATTACAGCACACAATTCATTATTTAGCAATTATTCAAAACGAAAATAATACTCAAGTGTTATTACATGTTGAATATTGTTTAGTCTACATGTAAGATAGATTTTAAATGCTCTGATAATTTCAACAAAGTAGTTTTTATACAATCTTTTAAAATGGTGTATACCAAGTACATTTATGTACCCCGTTAAATGCCACGGGCTAAGTACATTCCCCTGGCTGACCAATTACCGTTATGTAACTACGATGTTTAATAGTATAATGTTTGAGAAGAGGTAGTAATTATGTGCACTTGAGAACTTATTAACATCCATTATAAACATTTACAGTTAATATAATACTGTCAACAGAGAATCAGGTATAATTTCGGAATCAAAAAGTGGTTCATCGACATCTATTCGCAAAATTTTCACGTGTTGGATTGAAAAATGTCGTTTTGACCTGTTCAATACTATATGCATACGGTCTGGGGAGACTGGGTTTCAGGTAGTTCACAAATAAAATAGCATGAATGATACGTCTTTTAGCAATAAAAGCAACAAATTATACATATACTGCTACAGAATTTGGAAGCGTAGAGTTATGAATGCGAATCGCACCTTGTGTAAATCGAGTGGGGTATAACGTGTTACAGTGTAATGTATAATAGTCTAACGGTCCCACTCGTTATTTATAGACAAATAACTTACCTATCTCGAGGGTCAATCCATGTCGTTAATCGTGTATTATGATCAATATAAAAAGTTTTTCCATCTACATCTATCACAGCTTCCCAACCAGAAGGTAGGGGAAGGTCCCCGTTACTCCCCCTTGGCATATTTCATACACAAAGTTAGATACACAGGCCGATTGCTACATAGTTTTAGCTTCCATTTTGCTTGACATTAGCATATTAATCACGTGACTCGAGTGGCCAATCAACTTACGGGTATTCAAGAGATCGGAATGCACACATCTAAATAGCAAAACAGTTTCGATATATTGTGTATGGGATAACATAATAAATATTTGGCAAGCCCCCCACGGTCCTATACCGTCATGATTAAATGACAAAAAATGACTTTTCATACAGAGTTATCCGTATTTCGTTTTTAAGTAAGGACAAAAGAAACGACTTTAAGATAACCTGGAATTCATTTTAAACACCACAATAAAGCGACAGTATAAGTAAGCAAATAGACTATAAAGGATTATTTGTAACCATTAAACAGCGTTAAATCACCGGGCGGTTTCATTCATATATCCCCTTAATCTCTTACTAATATACAGTCTTAGCATTGATATACATTTCAAAGATGTTGATGATTAAGGATACGGTCAGTCGGCAATAAAAGCGCATAAATTATTGTAAATGGCCTCTAGCTGCCGCGGAATTAACTATTTCTCTTAGAAATTTTCGTTTTCAGAGTGATGTTAACCGATATATAGGCGGATTCCTAATGAAAATATATTTTTTCTGCAAATTTAAAACTCGTGGAGTGGATGTGCGTGAAAGAACCACAAGGTGTTTGTGGTTCGTTGTCTTCCATTCACCAAACGCAGCTGCCTCTCTTTATTATGGGGGAACAAAAGCAATTAATAATTTGACGACGTTTCCCGCCAAAAACTTCTCATAAAGAATACGTGATACTAATTGATTACTGTTTAAACAATTAAACGCCAAACTATCTAAATTTAAATTCGGCGATTACAATACTTGATTGTACCTGAAAAGAACACACACGAAAAAAAACCCCAAAAACCCCAAAACAAAACAAAATCCAAATGCATATATATTATAATATAAATTTTCTTTTCCAGAGAGATTTAATTATAATATTGTAATATTTTGCCCAATAAACCTATTGTGTTTTCATCAAACTATTTCTTGTTGACATTAATTTCCTTGGCTTTCATTCATGTAAAAAACGGAAACGAGCTCAAAAATATGAAGCGACAGAGAGAAAAAGCCGCGTGATCATGTAAATATGTTAGTTATTTGAGATATCGACTTTTGTTTTCTTTATCTCGTATATCAATGAAAATATGAAAGAAAAACACCACTGACAGGGCACAAGGGAAGGTCACTTCTTTAAGCGTTATGGGCAGATTGGCCAGGACAGGATGCGTATACACCCGGTCAATTTTCAGTACAGTGTCATGAATGACGTGTGAAACGCCCGTTGCTAGGGAGAATAGTATTTAAACGACCTATTCGTTATCAGTTATCATTGTTCATTTACTGGTTAATAACTATTTATTGTCCGTCAATGTCCATTTTACATGTACATAAATCTCATAATTCCTCATTTCCGTTACCTGAGCACGTGCGAATTCTTTATGAAGCAAGCGGGGGCTATTTACCTGTATTTATGATTAGTATTGAAGGTTAGAGAACAATAAAACTAGTTTCTTTTGTTGTTCAAAGACAAAACACGATTGCTGAATTTATCTTGTAAAAATTAATAGATCTAATTCCTTATAAAATTTAATAAAATAAATAAATAAATAGAAAATAACATAGAATTGTGAAAGTTGACAAAGATCCACAGAGTTAATTGTAGATTACAGGCGGATCTATGAATCTTTGCGAAAAATTTCAAAAAGATCACACATTATCATGTACGCATTTGTAGTTCTAATTGATGAAATGAAATGAAATGGGGTTTAACATCCTACTGTTCTGCTCCTATACTGGGCTAATGAAAACGGGCATACGCCATACAGTGTGCTATGAGGGAAATTTTGCCCGGGCAATTCCAACTGCCAGGGGATCTTTTACGTGCATTCCAATATATACACGGGACCTCGGTTTTTCGTCTCATCCGAAGGACTAGACAGTTGTCCTTACCAGGCCCTCCGATCTGCACCACTGACAAGGGGAAACCATGTCGGAAAATCTGGATGAACCTTCTCGGCCAATGCAGGGATCGAACACCAGACCTCCAGGCTAGCGAGCCAGCGTCTTAACCACCTAGCCACCGTGGCCCCCTCTAATTGATGAAATGAAATGGCATTAAGCGTCCAACTGTTCTTCCCCAAGCGGGCTAGTCAAGACCGGGATACCCCATACAGTGTGCTATGACGAAAATTTTACCAAACTGATCCGCACTAAATAATCGCCTTCGCATTTTAAATGGAAATTTTGCCCGGACAATGGAGTAACGTCCCGCTCACGGTATCTCGGGTGTCTATCTCATCCGAAGGGCTAGAAACTGCTCCTTCTCAGACCTTCCGTTCTGCACCAATGACAAATGTAATCCACGCGGGTAAATATTGCGGTACTTTCTCGCCAACACGCCAGCGTGTACACGGGACACTTTTGACCCACCCGAAGGACTATACACTGCTCCGTGCCAGACCCTCTGTCCTGCACCACGGAAAAGGGAAAATCCCGAGGCACTTTCTGTAAATAGAGTGGGAGAGCAGTGGGGGTGGGTGGTGTGTGTGTTTTAGGGGCGAGGCATGGGCGTCACACATGGGGAGGTCGAAGGGGGAAGGGGGAAGGGGGGCCCCCCCCCCAAATTTTTTTTTACATAGTAGGCCCTAATTCCTATTTATTTACAACAATCCCAATATGTTGGTGTGATGTTTTAGTTTAACCCCGTAAAATATGAAATATGCCAAAAACAGTGTTTCCAGAAGACTGAAACTTTAAAAAAAATTTATGCGGTGCCCCCCCCCCCCCCCAAGTGGGAGAGTCACCCTCCCACACTCTCCCTATCGCGCTACACCACAGATTGTCGACATGTTACATAATTTCATTTCCGGACCCCCCCCCCCCCCAATATATATTTCACGGCTACGCCTCTGGGCGAGGGGCTCCCTTAGCTATGCTATCAACAAAACTTTTTGTGAGTCTATATAACACCCACAAATGTGAAAAATAAAGGATTCATGCATGTAAATGTAATTGAACATTTATTTCTTACATGGTAATTAAATTTCATGAAACAATAGTATTCAAGTGAGTTTGTCAGTTCAGTCTCATCAAGAAAATACAGTTAATTTATTTCATATAGTATTATACTTAAAATAACCCACTTTATATAATTTCAACCATAAAATAATCGTCGATTTAATACGATATTTCAAGGAGTATTCATTAAACTGATTGAAATCAATTAAAATATTGGAAGGAAAGTTAAAATGTCTGTATCTCAACGATGGATTGGAGGATTTGTCTTAAACTTAGCATATACAAGACAAAGAAACATCCCGATGGGATTGTACAAATGACGTTAAATGAAAAGGAGCCACGTTGGCTTAATGAGAATGACGCTGGCTCACTGGACATCATGTACTGGGTTCGATTCCACTGTTGTTCGAGAAAGTTCCTGAGTATTTTGCAGTCTGGTTTTAACATGTATTCGTTAGTGTGCACATAAAGGAGGCCTTGGGGGAAAAGTAGAGGCGACAGCGCTTTCCGGGTAAATTTTTATAACCAAGCATTTCAATATGATGCTTGATAGAATTATTTCTGAATAAACACTATAATAAAAATATTTACATTTTCTCTTGAAGCACATTGCATGTCGGATGCCCTCCTTCATTATCCGGTTTGTGCAGAAAAGCATTACGTTATACCCCAAGAGATTGTTAATTCAATACCGGTGTTGTCCGAAAAACTTCTTTGGATTTTTCAATCGTGGTTCCCCTTTGGTGCAGAAAGAAGAGCCTGACAAATAACAATGTCTATAGTGCTCCGGATGGAACGCAAAACCGAAACCCCGTGTACTCGTTGGCATGCACGCAATAGAACCCTTGACAGTTGGGATTCGAAATAAGAGTAGACAAAATGTCCCTTAAAGCACATAACATGGTATATACCCAGTCGTTAAAGAACCAAGGTACTACTTCTGATTCCCATCTTCAGGAGGTCGGTAAGCACCATTTCATTGCATTCAAAACCGACATTTTTGGCGCAGAAAAGTTAGACCTGATTGCCAATTATTCTGTTTTCTTTCGGATGGGAAGAAGGGGACGGAGATTTAGCGTCTCGTCAACACAGTTTGAGACTAACATACGGTGGTTCAGGGCCGGCGGAAGCAATTCGTGATTGAGGGAGCTACCATCGTAGGTCCTTAGGCGAAGGTCATGGGACCGCTTAAGCCCCGGATATTCTTGGGGGTCTAGAACGTCGCAGTTCTATGGTGGTTTAATCCTGTGATGCTAAAATTGACAAAAATATGCATAATAATACCAAGGATGTGATCACCCTAGAGGTCACAATTTTTATCCGATTTTGATGAAACTTACAATGTATGCTTATTATCGAAGGATCCCGGTTCTTTCGATATTGGCTCATATAGGACTGTCACTTCCTGGATTATTGCCCCTGATTGTACGAACAATCACATTTTAGTTTGTGGACTCTGTAGAAGTAACAGTTTTTATTTGATTGTAAAAACCGTTCAATCATACCAGGTCTCTAATTTTTATCCGATGTTGACGAAACTTGAAATATGGGTTTATCTCCCAAAGATGTCGATTCCTTTCGAAATTGGCATGTATCGGACCGTCACTTATGACCTCTGATTGTATACGACAAGTAACGTTTTTAGCTTACGGACACTATAGAGGTCACATTTTTGCACATATCGGACTATAACCGCCTGGATTATTGCCCATGATTGTACGAAAAATCACGTTTTTAGCTTGCTGGTTCCTCTAGAGGTTACAACTTTTATCAGATTTAAAAAGGCGTTCGAATATATCACCGCTATACCATAATTACCGTTGAGTTCATATTTCCTGAAAATCGTTCCCCTCAACGCATGTAATACCCAGGTTAGATCTCAATATTACGGCCGCCTGCAGATTTCGCCAAGGTCACGAGGTGTAAACAGGGCTAGCGCCAATCCTAACCCAAGATCTATCCTTTACCCTAATCAACAAT